TGGGGACATTATATTTAATATGTATATTGATGTATTTACATTCCCTGACTTGTGGGGACATGAATGTGATTACACACAATACTTATGGGGACATTATATTTGTGTATTTTGAGTTATTTATATTCCCTGACTTGTGGGGACATGAATGTGATTACACACTAGGCTTATGGGGACATTATATTTGTGTATTTTGAGGTATAATTTATATTCCCTGACTTGTGGGGACATGAATGTGATTGCACACTAGACTTATGGGGACATTATATTTCTGTATTTTGAGGTATTTATATTCCTTGACTTGAGAGGACATGAGTGTGAGTACACACTAGACTTATGAGGACATTATATTTGTGTATTTTGAGGTATTTATATTCCCTGACTTGTGTGGACATGAATGTGATTACACACTAGACTTATGGGGACATTATATTTGTGTATTTTGAGTTATTTATATTCCCTGACTTGTGGGGACATGAATGTTATTACACACTAGGCTTATGGGGACATTATATTTGTGTATTTTGAGGTATAATTTATATTCCCTGACTTTGTGGGGACATGAATGTGATTGCACACTAGACTTATGGCGACATTATATTTCTGTATTTTGAGGTATTGATATTCCTTGACTTGTGGAAACATGAGTCTGAGTACACACTAGACTTATGAGGACATTATATTTGTGTATTTTGAGGTATTTATATTCCCTGACTTGTCGGGACATGAATGTGATTACACACTAGACTTATGGGGACATTATATTTGTGTATTTTGAGGTATTTATACTCCCTGACTTTTGGGGACATGAATGTGAGTACACACTAGACTTATGAGGACATTATATTTGTGTATTTTGAGGTATTTATATTCCCTGACATGTGGGGACATGAATGTGATTACACACTGGACTTATGGGGACATTATATTTGTGTATTTGGAGGTATTTATATTCCCCGACTTGTGCATGGGGACATGAATGTGAGTACACACTAGACTTATGAGGACAATATATTTGTGTATAGTGATGTATTTACATTCCCTGACTTGTGGGGACATGAATGTGATTACACACTAGACTTATGGGGACATTATATTTGTGTATTTTGAGTTACAGTATTTATATTCCCTGACTTGTGGGGACATGAAGGTGATTACACACTAGGCTTATGGGGACATTATATTTCTGTATTTTGAGGTATTTATATTCCCTGACTTGTGGGGACATGAATGTGATTACACACGAGACTTATGAGGACATTATATTTGTGTATTTTGAGGTATTTATATTTCCTGACTTGTGGGGACATGAATGTGATTACACACTAGACTTATGGGGACATTATATTTGTGTATTTTGAGTTATTTATATTCCATGACTTGTGGGGACATGAATGTGATTACACACTAGGCTTATGGGGACATTATATTTGTGTATTTTGAGGTATAATTTATATTCCCTGATTTTTGGGGACATGAATGTGATTGCACACCAGACTTATGAGGACATTATATTTGTGTATTTTGAGGTATTTATATTCCCTGACTTGTTGGGACATGAATGTGATTACACACTAGACTTATGGGGACATTATATTTGTGTATTTTGAGGTATTTATATTCTCTGACTTGTGGGGACATGAATGTGATTACACACTAGACTTATGGGGACATTATATTTGTGTATTTTGAGTTATTTATATTCCCTGACTTGTGGGGACATGAATGTGATTACACACCACACTTATGGGGACATTATATTTGTGTATATTGATGTGTTTACATTCCCTGACTTGTGGGGACTTGAATGTGATTACACACTAGACTTATGGGGACATTATATTTGTGTATTTGGAGGTATTTATATTCCCTGACTTGTGGGGACATGAATGTGATTACACACGAGACTTATGGGGACATTATATTTGTGTATTTTGAGGTATTTATATTCCCTGACTTGTGGGGACATGAAAGTGAGTACACACTAGACTTATGAGGACATTATATTTGTGTATTTGGAGGTATTTATATTCCCTGACTTGTAGGGACATGAATGTGATTACACACTAGACTTATGGGGACATTATATTTGTGTATTTGGAGGTATTTATATTCCCTGACTTGTGGGGACATGAATGTGAGTACACACTAGACTTATGAGGACATTATATTTGTGTATAGTGATGCATTTACATTCCCTGACTTGTGGGGACATGAATGTGATTACACACAATACTTATGGCGACATTAGGTTTGTGTATTTTGAGTTATTTATATTCCCTGACTTGTGGGGACATGAAACTGATTACACAATAGACTTATGCGGACATTATATTTGTGTATATTGATGTATTTATATTCCCTGGCTTGTGGGGACAGTAATGTGGTAACACACTAGACTTATGGGGACATTATATTTAATATTGATGTATTTATATTCTTTGACTTGTGGGGACATGAATGTGATTACACAGTAGACTTATGGTGACATTATATTTGTGTATTTTTAAGTATTTATATTCCCTACTTGTCGGGACATGAATGTGAGTACACACTAGACTTATGAGGACATTATATTTGTGTATAGTGATGTATTTACATTCCCTGAGTTGTGGGGACATGAATGTGATTACACACAATACTTATGGGGACATTATATTTGTGTATTTTGAGTTATTTATATTCCCTGACTTGTGGGGACATGAATGTGATTACACACTAGACTTATGGGGACATTATATTTGTGTATTTTGAGTTATTTATATTCCCTGACTTGTGGGGACATGAATGTGATTACGCACCAGACTTATGGGGACATTATATTTGTGTATATTGATGTGTTTACATTCCCTGACTTGTGGGGACTTGAATGTGATTACGCACTAGACTTGTGGGGACATTATATTTGTGTATTTTGAGGTATTTATATTCCCTGACTTGTGGGGACATGAATGTGATTACACACTAGACTTATGGGGACATTATATTTGTGTATTTTGAGGTATAATTTATATTCCCTGACTTATGGGGACATGAATGTGATTACACACTAGACTTATTGTTACATTATATTGGTGTATTTTGTGGTATTTATGTTCCCTGTCTTGTGGGGACATGAATGTGAGTACACACTAGACTTAGGAGAACATTATATTTGTGTATTTGGAGGTATTTATATTCCCTGACTTGTGGGGACATGAATGTGATTACACGCTAGACTTATTGGGACATTATATTTGTGTATATTGATGTATTTATATTCCCTGGCTTGTGGGGACATGAATATGATTACGCACTAGACTTATGAGGACATTATATTTGTTTATAATGATGTATTTACATTCCCTGACTTGTGGGGACATGAATGTGATTACATACAATACTTATGGGGACATTATATTTGTCTATTTTGAGTTATTTATATTCCCTGACTTGTGGGGACATGAATGTGATTACACACTAGACTTATGGGGACATTATATTTGTGTATTTGGAGGTATTTATATTCCCCGACTTGTGGGGACATGAATGTGAGTACACACTAGACTTATGAGGACATTATATTTGTGTATAGTGATGTATTTACATTCCCTGACTTGTGGGGACATGAATGTCATTACACACAATACTTATGGGGACATTATATTTGTGTATTTTGAGTTATTTATATTCCCTGACTTGTGGGGACATGAATGTGATTACACACTAGACTTATGGGGACATTATATTTGTGTATTTTGAGGTATAATTTATATTCCCTGACTTGTGGGGACATGAATGTGAGTACACACTAGACTTATGAGGACATTATATTTGTGTATTTGGAGGTATTTATATTCCCTGACTTGTGGGGACATGAATGTGATTACACACTAGACTGATGGGGACATTATATTTGTGTATTTTGAGGTATTTATATTCCCTGACTTGTGGGGGCATGAATGTTAGTACACACTAGACTTATGAGGACATTATATTTGTGTATAGTGATGTATTTACATTCCCTGACTTGTGGGGACATGAATGTGATTACACACAATACTTATGGGGACATTATATTTGTGTATATTGATGTATTTATATTCCCTGGCTTGTGGGCACAGTAATGTGGTTACACACTAGACTTATGGGGACATTATATTTGTGTATATTGATGTATTTATATTCCCTGACTTGTGGGGACATGAATGTGATTACACACTAGACTTATGGTGACATTATATTTGTGTATTTTGAGGTATTTATATTCCCTGACTTGTGGGGACATGAATGTGAGTACACACTAGACTTATGAGGACATTATATTTGTGTATAGTGATGTATTTACATTCCCTGACTTGTGGGGACATGAATGTGATTACACACAATACTTATGGGGACATTATATTTGTGTATTTTGAGTTATTTATATTCCCTGACTTGTGGGGACATGAATGTGATTACACACTAGACTTATGGGGACATTATATTTGTGTATATTGATGTATTTATATTCCCTGACTTGTGGGGACATGAATGTGATTGCACACTAGACTTATGGTGACATTATATTTGTGTATATTGATGTATTTATATTCCCTGACTTGTGGGGACATGAATGTGATTGCACACTAGACTTATGGGGACATTATTATAATATTCTCTTTGAACATCAAATATACAAGCTAGTTTTGTTCTCGAGTCTCCATGTTCTCCCGCCTATATCCGTCCACCTGTCACGTGTCCCCCACGTGATAACATAGGATATTACATCCCTCCCTTACTGGGATTTAGAGACGTGCTAAAGTCACACTAAACATAACTAGTAAAAGAACCCAAATTTAAAGTCAAATGTCAACTAAGTGTTTGCCATATAAGGTTCACTCAATGTGATTCGTAAAGTACATGCATGCATGTCTTAATACAGTCTGTCAGACACGGTGACAAGTACTGGGAGCTTATTAGTCCGACAATAAGTTCCTTATTCAGCGCTATGCATAGTCTGCTAGATGTCTTGGTGGCGCTCAAACGCGTTGAGGATAACGGTGAGGTTCTTGTTGCTGTTCCTCAGCCTGTGCAGTGTTGTCTGGTTCACCGTCCGTGTCTTCGAGGTTATCATGTTCTCCATCGGTTGAGTCGCCTTCCGTTGGTTCATCTTGTTGTCTGACGAGCTTGAAGAACGATGAGTTTCTGGTCACTGTCTTTTCTCCTCGCGTGGCGGTTACCATCGAGCCTTTGCAGCTGATTACTTTGTATGGCTTTGGTTCATACGGGGTTTCGGACTTTCGATGTGAGGGATCACGCTTTAGGACCACGGTATCGCCAGGTCGTACTCTTGATGGCTTGACATATGCTTTCGAGTCAGCATATTTCTTCATCTTTCTTTTGGCTTTCTGGTCCGTCTCTTGGATCTCGGCTGGGTCCCGTGCATTGGTGTGTACATCGGGTAGCTTCGTTCGGAGTTGGCGATTGAAGAAGGCTGTTGCTGGGGCCTTTCCAGTTGAGCTGTGTGGTGTAGCTCTGAAGTTCCAAAGGAAGTTGGTTAGTTCTTCTCGCCATGGTTTCTGCTGTGTAAGTGCAATCTTCACGATCTTCTTTACCGTCCTCATGAACCGCTCTACTTCGCCGTTGGCTCTTGGCCAATAGGGAGTGATCTTTCTGTGGGTAAATCCCAGGTTAGCGGCGAAAGTTGCAAAGGCTTCGGAGTTGAACGGCGGACCGTTATCGGATTTCAGAATTCCTGGAATGCCAAATTGTGAAAAGATGTGTTGGAGTTTAGGAATTACAGCTTGGGCTGCCACTGAACGAATAACTTCAACGATTGGATAGCGTGAGTAGTCGTCAGATACTACCAAGAGGTAGTCCCCTGTTGAGAGTTCAGCAAAGTCAACGCTTATCTCGTCCCACGCTTGATCGGGCAGAATAAACATTTGTAACGGCTCACGTGCTGCCTCCGGGGTTGCAACTTGGCATGCGAGACAGGATTTTACTCGTTCTTCGACCATTTTGTTGATTCCGGGGAACCACACCTTCTCTCGTAGTAGGGATTTGGTTTTGGTAATGCCTTGGTGACCTTCGTGAGCCAAGTCCACGACGCGACGTTGTAGCTTGTTTGGAATCACTAATTTCGTTCCACGAATGACGTATGTGTGAAATGTGTCAGTGTCGACCTTTGGATGCTTGGCTAGTTCATGCCACTTGCCTGATTGAACGGCGTCTATGACGGCACGGAGGGTTGGGTCACGTCCTGTGGCCTCTGCAATCATGCTGAGGGTGAGTGCAGTTGGTGTTGAAGTTGTGGCAATGTAATTTATGTACTCTTCAGCAACTTTTTCCTGTCTGCTGCAGGGTTCGGTGTGACTGGAAGGGTGCCTAGACATATAGTCTGCAGGATTTTCTTCTCCTTTTCGGTAATACACGGTGGTCTGGTATGGTTGAAGTCTGAGTGCCCATCTTTCGATGCGAGCAGGTGGTTTCGAGTTCGTGTTGCCATAGATAGCAACGAGGGGCTTGTGGTCTGTGTAGGCATTGACTGGCTTGCCGTAAATGTAGAGGTGAAAGTGTTCACATGCCCATACTACAGCGAGGGCTTCGCGCTCAGTCTGGCTGTAGCGTTGCTCGGTGGTGGTCAGAGACCGGCTGGCATATGCAATGATACGCTTGACTTTGGTTGTGGGATTGATTTGCGCTAAGATGGCGCCCAGCCCAACCGGGCTTGCATCAACAAAGATTTCAGTTGTTTTCTCAGGGTTGAAGTACGCTGTGACAGGTGCATTGGCCAACACATGCCGGAGCTGGGCCAGGGCATGTTCCTGCTTGTCCATCCACTCCCAGGCATGGTTCTTGTGGGTAAGGGCTCGCAGAGGTTCAGTAATTGTGGCATATCCCTCGACGAATCGTGCACAGTAGTTGGTCATGCCTAGCAGGCTACGGACTTCTGTGACTGACGTTGGAGCTTTGAGGTTTAGGATATCTTGGACTTTCTTTGGATCGGGGGCCATGCCATCCGCACCAAAAACGTACCCGAAGAACTCAAGGCTGTTTTTGCTGTACTCGCACTTGAGTTTGTTCAAGGTCAGCCCGCGTTCTCGAAGCCGCTGAAACACTGCTGCGAGTGCTTGATCATGCTCCTTCTGGGTCTTGCCAAAAACGAGTATGTCGTCGCTGATGTTAATTGCGCCCGGGATGCCGTCAAGACTCTCGCGGATGGCGTTCTGAAAGATTTCGGCGGCACTAGATATTCCAAAGTTGAGTCGCTTGTAGCGCATGAGCCCAAGGTGGGTGCTGAAGGTGGTAATGTACCTGGATTCCGGGGCTAGTTCTAGTTGGTTGTAACCCTGGTTGAGGTCGAGTTTGCTAAAGACAGTTGCACCATTCAAATCGCCGATGATTTCCTTGATCGTTGGGGTGATGTGGCGTTCACGCTGGACTGCTGTGTTTGCACGACGCATGTCAACGCATACACGGACCTTTCCGGGTGACTTGGGCTTTGGTGCCACAACAATGGGTGATACCCAGGGGGTTGGGCCCTCCACGCGTTCGATTACACCCAGTTTTTCGTCCTGACTTAGCTGTTCCTCAAGTTGTTTGCGCAAATGGAACGGCACGCGTCGGTGTGGTTGGGCAACTGGTGGTACACCTTCGTCAATATGAAGCTGAACTTGGTAATCTTTCAACTTGCCGAGTCCTTGGAACAAGTCCTGGTATTGGGTGGTGAGCTGTTCAACGGTGGGAAGGGTTTGATGTGTAATGGGCTTTACGACTTTGAGTAGCTGCAGGTCGGTAGAAGTGCGCCAGCTAAGCAATGACCCACTGGTTCCTTTCACAACATAGAATGTCTCTGTACGGTTGACTGTTTCCGATGCGACGGTGGAGGTAAATTGCCCAAGGACGGGTAGGGGTGTCTCGGTCTGGTAAGGATAGACTTTGATGCGTGTTTGCTCCAAACTCGGTCGTGGGGAGAGCTTGTTGTAATCTTGCTCATCCAGAATGTTGATACTGGAACCAGAGTCTGCCATTATGGTCAGCAGTGTTCCCTCGATGGTGACGTCAAATAATGGGTGTTTCTTGCGATCCGAAGTCATGTTGTTGACGTTGATTCAGAACACGCCAACTTCGTCGCTGTCATCGCTGTAGTCAGTTTCTGCGGTGTTGTCCATCGCTCGGACGTGCTGTCGTTCGGCTGTTTGCGGGTAGCGTCGCTGACGTGGTTTGGTGGGGTTTGAACGTTGTCTGTCTTGGAGACATACGGACTGAAAGTGGTTAAGTTTTTCGCAGGAGCAACATCCTTTCCGTATGCTGGGCAAGCAGTTTTTCCGCCTTCATGCGGGTATGTGCCTCCACAATTACGACATTTCACCCTGGTACCGGGGCTCCGGGATTGGAAGCGTGCTTTGTTGTGGTTTTTGCTACTTCCGGTTGTGAAATGGCTGACGTTCTCTGTTCGTTCTAAGTTCGCTGCTTGCGAGTCGGCTAGCTCCGCCGCTTTACCCATTTCTAGAAGTTTTGCCAGGGTTATAGTTGGATCGATTAAAGCTTTTCGTCGAAGTCGTTGCGAGCGGCCGTGTTGGATGATCTGAGATTTGATTTCGCGATCGGCATCGTGAAATTCACAGGTGAGGGAAAGTTGTTTGAGTCGTGTATAGTACGTCATAAGAGCTTCGTCGTTGTTTTGTTTGGCGTTGCGAAATTTATATTCTTCGAATACAGGGTTTTTCTTTGGTGTAAAGTATTCAGATAGTGCTTTGATTGTGACGTCTAGAACTGTTTCTCCTTCAGCCGGTTCACTGACTGTGAGTGTTTCAAAGATATCATTGACTTCTTCACCGATGTAGTGTAATAGGAGCGCCTTTTGACGTTTGGGATCATCGATGTCTGTAGCAACTATCAAATTTCGAAAACGAGCTATGTATTTCTTAAATCTGACGCCGGGTGCTCCCTGGTCCGCGTTGGGATCGAAGGAAGGGAATGTTGGCAGAGCTGTTGCCATGTTTTGTTGTGTTTTAGGCTGTTTTTAGCCGTTAAATCGAGAGTTTTAAAGCGTTTTGTTTGCTTGCTTTCCCGTCACGAGTAGACGCCTAGCGTACGTTTTTCGCTATCAAACGGCTTGGTGTTTCTGAATATGAACACAAGAGTGTACTGATCTTTCTTACTTGAGTAAGATCTTGCGCTGGGTTGTTTTGTTGTTTGTGTTAATAGATCCTCGTCGCCAATATAATATTCTCTTTGAACATCAAATATACAAGCTAGTTTTGTTCTCGAGTCTCCATGTTCTCCCGCCTATATCCGTCCACCTGTCACGTGTCCCCCACGTGATAACATAGGATATTACAATTATATTTCTGTATTTTGAGGTATTTATATTCCTTGACTTGTGGGGACATGAGTGTGAGTACACACTAGACTTATCAGGACATTATATTTGTGTATTTTGAGGTATTTATATTCCCTGACTTGTGGGGACATGAATGTGATTACACACTAGACTTATGGGGACATTATATTTGTGTATTTTGAGTTATTTATATTCCATGACTTGTGGGGACATGAATGTGATTACACACTAGGCTTATGGGGACATTATATTTGTGTATTTTGAGGTATAATTTATATTCCCTGATTTGTGGGGACATGAATGTGATTGCACACCAGACTTATGAGGACATTATATTTGTGTATTTTGAGGTATTTATATTCCCTGACTTGTTGGGACATGAATGTGATTACACACTAGACTTATGGGGACATTATATTTGTGTATTTTGAGGTATTTATATTCCCTGACTTGTGGGGACATGAATGTGAGTACACACTAGACTTATGAGTACATTATATTTGTGTATTTTGAGGTATTTATATTCCCTGACTTGTGGGGACATGAATGTGATTACACACTAGACTTATGGGGACATTATATTTGTGTATTTGGAGGTATTTATATTCCCCGACTTGTGGGGACATGAATGTGAGTACACACTAGACTTATGAGGACATTATATTTGTGTATAGTGATGCATTTACATTCCCTGACTTGTGGGGACATGAATGTGATTACACACAATACTTATGGCGACATTATGTTTGTGTATTTTGAGTTATTTATATTCCCTGACTTGTGGGGACATGAATGTGATTACACACTAGACTTATGGGGACATTATATTTGTGTATTTGGAGGTATTTATATTCCCTGACTTGTGGAGACATGAATGTGAGTACACACTAGACTTATGAGGACATTATATTTGTGTATTTTGAGGTATTTATATTCCCTGACTTGTGGGGACATGAATGTGATTACACACTAGACTTATGGGGACATTATATTTGTGTATTTGGAGGTATTTATATTCCCTGACTTGTGGGGACATGAATGTTAGTACACACTAGACTTATGAGGACATTATATTTGTGTATAGTGATGTATTTACATTCCCTGACTTGTGGGGACATGAATGTGATTACACACAATACGTATGGGGACATTATATTTGTGTATTTTGAGTTATTTATATTCCCTGACTTGTGGGGACATGAATGTGATTACACACTAGACTTATGGGGACATTATATTTGTGTATATTGATGTATTTATATTCCCTGGCTTGTGGGCACAGTAATGTGGTTACACACTAGACTTATGGGGACATTATACTTGTGTATATTGATGTATTTATATTCCCTGACTTGTGGGGACATGAATGTGACTACACACTAGACTTATGGTGACATTATATTTGTGTATTTTGAGGTATTTATATTCCCTGACTTGTGGGGACTTGAATGTGAGTACACACTAGACTTATGAGGACATTATATTTGTGTATAGTGATGTATTTACATTCCCTGACTTGTTTGGACATGAATGTGATTACACACAATACTTATGGGGACATTATATTTGTGTATTTTGAGTTATTTATATTCCCTCACTTGTGGGGACATGAATGTGATTACACACTAGACTTATGGGGACATTATATTTGTGTATTTTGAGGTATAATTTATATTCCCTGACTTGTGGGGACATGAATGTGATTACACACTAGACTTATTGGGACATTATATTTGTGTATATTGATGTATTTATATTCCCTGGCTTGTGGGGACATGAATATGATTACGCACTAGACTTATGGGGACATTATATTTATGTATATTGATGTATTTACATTCCCTGACTTGTGGGGACATGAATGTGATTACACACAATACTTATGGGGACATTATATTTGTGTATTTTGAGTTATTTATATTCCCTGACTTGTGGGGACATGAATGTAATTACGCACTAGACTTATGGGGACATTATATTTGTGTATTTTGAGTTATTTATATTCCCTGACTTGTGGGGACATGAATGTAATTACGCACTAGACTTATGGGAACATTATAATTGTGTATTTGGAGGTATTTATATTCCCTGACTTGTGGGGACATGAATGTGATTACACACGAGACTTATGGGGACATTATATTTGTGTATTTTGAGGTATTTATATTCCCTGACTTGTGGGGACATGAATGTGAGTACACACTAGACTTATGAGGACATTATATTTGTGTATTTGGAGGTATTTATATTCCCTGACTTGTGGGGACATGAATGTGATTACACACTAAACTTATGGGGACATTATATTTGTGTATTTGGAGGTATTTATATTCCCTGACTTGTGGGGACATGAATGTGATTACACACAATACTTATGGGGACATTATATTTGTGTATTTTGAGTTATTTATATTGTTTGACTTGTGGGGACATGAATGTAATTACGCACTAGACTTATGGGGACATTATATTTGTGTATTTTGAGTTATTTATATTCCCTGACTTGTGGGGACATGAATGTAATTACGCACTAGACTTATGGGAACATTATAATTGTGTATTTGGAGGTATTTATATTCCCTGACTTGTGGGGACATGAATGTGATTACACACGAGACTTATGGGGACATTATATTTGTGTATTTTGAGGTATTTATATTCCCTGACTTGCGGGGACATGAATGTGAGTACACACTAGACTTATGAGGACATTATATTTGTCTATTTGGAGGTATTTATATTCCCTGACTTGTGGGGACATGAATGTGATTACACACTAAACTTATGGGGACATTATATTTGTGTATTTGGAGGTATTTATATTCCCTGACTTGTGGGGACATGAATGTGAGTACACACTAGACTTATGAGGACATTATATTTGTGTATAGTGATGCATTTACATTCCCTGACTTGTGGGGACATGAATGTGATTACACACAATACTTATGGCGACATTATGTTTGTGTATTTTGAGTTATTTATATTCCCTGACTTGTGGGGACATGAATGTGATTACACACTAGACTTATGCGGACATTATATTTGTGTATATTGATGTATTTATATTCCCTGGCTTGTGGGGACAGTAATGTGGTTACACACTAGACTTATGGGGACATTATATTTAATATTGATGTATTTATATTCCCTGACTTGTGGGGACATGAATGTGATTACACAGTAGACTTATGGTGACATTATATTTGTGTATTTTGAAGTATTTATATTCCCTGACTTGTCGGGACATGAATGTGAGTACACACTAGACTTATGGGGACATTATATTTGTGTATAGTGATGTATTTACATTTCCTGAGTTGTGGGGACATGAATGTGATTACACACAATACTTATGGGGACATTATATTTGTGTATTTTGAGTTATTTATATTCCCTGACTTGTGGGGACATGAATGTGATTACACACTAGACTTATGGGGACATTATATTTGTGTATTTTGAGTTATTTATATTCCCTGACTTGTGGGGACATGAATGTGATTACGCACCAGACTTATGGGGACATTATATTTGTGTATATTGATGTGTTTACATTCCCTGACTTGTGGGGACTTGAATGTGATTACACACTAGACTTGTGGGGACATTATATTTGTGTATTTTGAGGTATTTATATTCCCTGACTTGTGGGGACATGAATGTGATTACACACTAGACTTATGGGGACATTATATTTGTGTATATTGATGTATTTATATTCCCTGACTTGTGGGGACATGAATGTGATTACTGACTAGAGTTATGGGGACATTATATTTGTGTATATTGATGTATTTTTATTCCCTGGCTTGTGGGGACATGAATATGATCCCTTACCAAACTGACATATATGTAAAATGTCTGCAAGTATCTGTCATATATCTGTTGCAGTACTGCAGCATATCTGCAGCAAGATCTACAATATCTGCAAAATATCTGCATAAAAGTTGCAGATATTTTGCAGATATGTTGATTATCTGTCAACATATCTGCAAAATATCTGCATAAAAGTTGCAGATATTTTGCAGATATGTTGATTATCTGTCAACATATCTGCAAAATATCTGCATAGAAGTTGCAGATATTTGCAGATATGTCAATTGTCTGTCAAAATATCTGCAAAATATCTGCATAAAAATTGCAGATATATGTAGATATGCCAATTGTCTGTCAATATACAGTATCTCAACTACACAGTAAAAAATAATTTCTTATTGAGAAAACAATTCTTACTGCAAGAAAATATTTGTTGAAGAACATTTTTTGAAATAAGAAAAATTCTCTTAACATATCTTAAATTACATTTGTTTTCTTTAAATATGAATGTTTTCTTACGATTTTGTCATTCATTTTCTTAACAAATTTTTTAAAACAAGAAATCAAATTCTTAACATAAGAAATAATGGTTAATAATAAATTATTTCTTACTTATTTTCTCGAAGAACGAAAATAAATTTGTTAAAATTTAAATATAACATCTTTTGCAATTTTTGCATTTTTTTCTTCCAAAATGATATTTTTCCTCAATATTCTTTTAAAAAAAAAGATGTGAAATGTCATCCTGGATTTAGATTCTATATGGGTTAGTATATTCACTTTAACTGTAATTAGCCTTTTCTCAAAAGAGATCACAGTGCATATTCTGGGGTGAT